ACCAGCTTGCATTCCCACCAGCAGTGTAGGAGGGTTCCCCTTTCTCCGCATCCCCGCCAACAACAGATGAAATATTTTTGATACTTCCTTCATATCACCTGTATTAATAGGTGACTTCTAAGTAACTTCTTCAAGGAAGCAAATCTCCAAAAAAAGGAAAATAGCCAAGATTGAGAACAATATAATTATCTTAAGTGGGACATATTTCCTTTTTTTAAAAAAAAGAAATGATATATTGTCTACTTTACTCTTGGCAAGAATAATATAATCTGGGAATTTATGCAAATGAAAATTTTATTTTATCAGCAATTGAATTATTTCATTCATTAAAATGTCTAGATAATTTAGAGCATGTTCTTGATCTTTATGCTTAAGAATGTGTTTGAAATGTTTTTCCCAAAGAAAATCCCAGCAGATGCATTATCACCAGACTTTTTCTCCATTGGAAGATCCTGGCTTTTTGATGAAGGAGTCTGGGTGAAGTTAAGGGAGGTATAATTGAAGTTGGGGAGGCAGTGGTGTGTTGATAAAATTTTAACAGCCAGCTGGAGAAGGAGAGCTTGTGGTATTTGCTTGTTTCCACTGTGTAAATAAATATTCTCACCTCGGCCAATTTCAGGCTACCAGGCTGCTTAACAACTAGCTCTTAAAAATACTGCAATGGGTTCTCCTGGACCAGTACAGGATGGCTTCAGCATACCACTTGGTGGGGCAAGGTGATGGTGCCCCCACCTTTGTGGGTCAGTCCATTAGTTCCAAACAACTTTTTTCTCTTCCCTAATTCTTTGGACTTCCCTATTCTTAGGAATGTTTTTTTCTTAGTACTATATCATCAAGGATGTCATTTCATTAATGATCATTGTTAATAGAGCTGGAATCCATAGTTCATTTCAGAAAGTCACCAACTGAAAGTACTAGTTAAAACTTCATAATTTGAGAACTGACTTATAGTCCTTACAATATTGAAATTAAGTTGCTATAAATATAAAGCTTGTACTTTGGGGGGAAAATAGTAAGTTTTATTAATCATGAAAAAAATCTGCATATTTTCAAATAGAAAACCAAAATATGTATTTTTGATTGGTCTTGACTCTTTCAAAAGAGCCAATCTTGTACAGAAATCCACAGACTTTTCCTTTTGTCTCCAACTTACTCTTTTCCTCCTCAGATGTAACCTGTGTTCCATTTCAGGTATTCAGTAACTTTTTTCTTCCCCCTGCTTTCCTCCCTTAAGAACCTGTCAAGTCCTACTAACCACACTGGATTCTTAAACAACCCAGAGGTTAGGGGCACTGACACCTACAGAGACAAAAATCTGCATACAACTTGTGACTCCCCAAAAACTTACTTTTAATAGCCTATTATTTACCTGAAGCCTTACCAATAACATAGTCAATTAACACATATTCTCTATGGTGTATGTATTATGTAATGTATTCTTACAATAAAGTAAGCTAGAGAAAAAAGTTACTCAGAAAATCATAAGAGAAAATACATTTACAGTACTGTACTGTATTTCTCTAAAAAAATCTACATGTAAGTGGACCCATGCGATTCAAAGCCATATTGTTCAAGGGTCAAATGTAGTGACTTTTACTTCTTACTTGAAATTCATTTGTACTAAAGTGTGCATTCAACCTGGGGGTTTTTTAATCTCTAATTTGTTCACTGTGGTTCAAGAATCACTAAGCATTTAACGAGAGTGGAAGCCTGAAAACCCACCAAGCCTTTTTCTACAGCTTCGCCCTAAAGATAAACGTATTTTGTCAAGTTAGGAGATTATTATAGAGTTCAGGAGGGAACTAAACACAAAAGTGGCAGGCATTTGTCTTTCCCATTGACTTCTTCCTCCTGGGAAGATCACACAAGTGTCTGGTCCCATTGAAGCTGCATTAGGTATAGTCTAAGAAGCTGCTAGTTCTGTAAGGTCTTGGGATCCAACCTGCCTAGTGACCTCTCTCTATTGGCTGGGATTCCTTTTCTCTGTTCCACACCCTTCTCTCCCACTACACATTCACATCAAGTCATATATACTGTTTTGGACTTCACATTAAACCTTTTTGGTGGGGGCGCCGGGGGGGTGGTTCCCAAAGGAACATGTGACTTTGTTTTCTTAAATGCTATCAGATAGAAAAAACCAACACATTCTTTTCAGCGTTTTCAAGTATGGGAGAAAAATGAATTTCCATGTGCAAATTTTCACAAATGTCATGGTCAGGCTGTCTCACACATGATAACATGGGGGAGATGATGATGATACATACACTTCATATATTACATATGTAACAAAACTTTCACCCCTGGTAAAAACAAAATGAATTCACTAGATGAATTATTCTTTGTCTTTATAATAAATTATGTACCCTGAGCATTTAGTAAACACATAAGAGATCTTCTCTAATTTTTTTTTCCCCAAACAGATACGTGATCAAGGACCCAAAAAGAACTCAGTTATCCACTTGGTAATTATTAAGTAATCTGTTTCTTTCTGTCTCAGAGAGAAAAATCCCAGATGAAGATTTCATCATCCTAATTGATGGATTAAATGAAGCAGAATTTCACAAACCGGATTATGGGGACACAATTGTTTCATTTCTGAGTAAAATGATTGGAAAATTTCCTTCTTGGCTCAAACTAATTGTAACAGTTAGGACCAGTTTACAGGTATGTGTTTGTTTGCTTTGGGACCATATATTATTTCTCTTGGAGAGTGCTTAAACAGAAAAAGTTCTAGATCCTTGTTCCTTAGTGATGAGTTTTTTTAAACCTCTACCATGTCTTCGAGCACTAGCAAGAATAATTCCCAAAGAGTATATTTTGAGAGTGAGAGATCAGATGATCTAAGTCCAGTCTCTGTGTATGACTGTCTTAGTTCAGATTCCCATTTCCATTGCTCTGGTTTTCATAAAGTGTCCCTCAAAATAACATGAAAAGAAGGTCCATTTTTCTAGACTTTGTCCTGAGCACAGCAATGCAAATTATATCCCTAACACTCTAATTTGCTGTTTGAGTTTTGTTTTACTTTTTTTTTTTATCATGTAATGCCATGTAAAACCCAGTTCTGTCTGCCATTTAGAGTCGGATTTCTCCTTCCCCCCCTCTGCTTCAACTGAAACAACTTTTCTATAATAGGACGGTGTATACCTTCCTCTAAGAAATATTGGCAGCATTAAGGCTTTAGATTAAATGTACTACAACTGGGAGATAAGATTTTTTTTTATCTTTTTTACCTTCCACCCTCACTCACTGATCACTTAATGGCCCAGAAGAAGGACTAGAAATGTGGGACTGAGCCTGCAAAGACATATGGGCTAAGGGTAAATGACTTCACCTCATCCCTCACAAGATTACATAAAACCTTGTTCTTGTTGTAGCTGAGTTGGTATCCCCTATTCCTTACATATTCATACTTGGTTTGGAACAGTTTCTCAACCTTTTTTTGCCTAACCATTGCCTTGTTTGTTGAGCATCAAAGTCTCACAGTATTACACACCTATCCCACTATTTCGATATAGCCCGCTTGTAATAATTACTAGTGTACAGAAAACAGTTTCTCTCTCCCAGGGACTTAGGAGTATTCCTGCATGTTGACCAATTAGCTTTGCTGCCTTCTTTGATCAGAAACTATACTTATAATGCTGGCCACCACCTTGCAGATGTTTGTTGTTAATCTCAAAGTAATTTAAATTAAAGAATGTGGATGAATCAATGTAAATGCATCTTTACAACTAAAAATTATGTAATCTCTTACTGGTCAGTAACTGGATTGTTAAAGATCAAGGATGAAAAGAAGAAACTTCCAGGAACACAATCTCTGACTAGTTTTACTAAATGTATGCTTAGGAGATGTTATCCTCATTTGTATTTTTTACATAATGCCATGTGCAGTCTCAAAAGACATTTTAAGTATGACTTGATGAGCAGATGACTTCAACTTTTCAGCTATGCCAAGGATAGGAAAAGTACTACTATACATATTAATCTACAAAGTCAAAATTTCAGTGTCCTCATAAATCAAGACCTGTATAACTTCCCAGATACTTCATTCACTTCAACCAAGAATTTTCTTATTTTCATTCAGCTCTGACAGTGAAATAATTCACAGGTCTTTAAAAAAAAACCCTCATATTTGATAATTCATTATTTCCACAGACATTTCTTAAGTACTTCAAGTGTGTCAGGCACTTTCTAGGAGCTGAAGATAGAGCAGTGAACAAGACAAACTATATCCCTGCCCTCATAAAGCTTATATTCCAGTGAGGAACACAAACAGAAACTAAGTGAAAAATTAAATATATATTAAAATTTTAGGTAGTATTGGTGTTCTGAAGACAAATAAAATAGGATAAACAGATAAATGGGAATGATAGTTATTTTAGATAGGACCGTGGGAAAGCCCTCTCCCAGGAGCCTGGCAAAATAATGGGATCTGATTTACCTTTTTAAAAGATTTCTTTGGCTGTTGGCCACAAAGATAATAAAAGGTAGGGGATCAAGAATAGGAGCAGGATGGGCGAAAGGCTTAGACTAGAGTGATCATGGTAGGGACCCTGTGAAGTGGTCATATTTGGAGCTTAGACTAGAGTGATCAGTCTAGTATCACAGGGTAGGGACCCTGTGAAGTGGTCATATTTGGACTATACTATGAAGGAGAATCAAAAGGACTTAATGATGGGCTGAATGTGGGATGATCAAGAAAGAAGATTCAAAAGCAAAACATGGGATTTGGGTGCACAATTGGGTAAATGCCGGTATGAGGAAAAGAGAAAGATCACAGGAGCCTATAATTTGGTGGTAGGGTTGGTGGTAATGCGGTTTATTGACATGGGAAGGTTTTGTCGCAGGGGGCAAAATTCATTAGTTCTGATTTAGTCATGTGAAGTTTGTCTGTACAACATCCCAATGTAAATGTCGAGTAGACCAACGTATATGATGAGAGCTCAGGGGAGAGGACTAAGCCGGAAACACAGGTTAGGCCTCAGCCAGGCAAAGTGAAAATTACATAAAACCTTGACAAGAATCATTTCAGTGAAATGAGGTGGTGTTGAATCTCATTGCAACAAAGAGAGGACAGAATGGGAAGGAGGAACAAGAGATAGGAAGTAGAGAAAACTCTTCTGTGAAGTTTTGCTAGAAATGGGGACAGAGATTTAGGATAGTAGCTGGGGGGAGGGTTTGTGGTGCCATTCGTCTGTGTGATCCAGTAAAGAAGAAGAAATTGATGCAGAAGAAAGAGGATACTTGCAGGACCAAAGTCTGTGTGCAGATAAGATGGAATCCAGAGCATAAGTAACCACAAAGCTCTATCACCTTTCCCCAGTATAATTTCCAAGCAGATCACCAAGGTACCAAGCATATTAGAAGTATTCCTTTAGGCTAAGTCATCTCCAAAAAGTCTTCACTAAAATGTAGTCATCTTATTAGGAAGGTTATGAAAGGCACATTTTTATATGGTGTTCTTTAAGTCCTCGTGCATTTCTCTTACTGAATTATACCTTGATGTTATGCCATGGTTTACACCGAGATTACAACAAAAGAGTTATATGGCACTCCACTTTCTATTTATGTTAGAGGTGTAATTTAGAATATTGACCATTAAATCACTCCTAAAGTACCTTTTGTGAAGACTGATAAAAAATTATCTTAAGTCTCAGTGTTAGGAAAAGTTGTGTCCCCTCTGTGCAACAAATTTGTTTTAACCTATGCATACTAATACTTGATCATATTTCCATCTTCGGCCACTTGGAAGTTTAGAATAAATGTGTGGACCTCAGAGTGTATCACAAGAGTTAGGGGAAACTGAAGGTCTTTCTGTCTCTCTCTCTCTCTCCATCTGTTTTAGGAAATTACCAAGCTGCTGCCTTTCCATAGGATATTTTTGGATCGACTAGAAGAGAATGAAGCCATAGACCAGGATCTGCAGGCTTACATCCTGCACCGGATACACAGCAGCTCAGAGATCCAGAATAACATTTCACTTAATGGCAAAATGGACAATACTACATTTGGCAAACTCAGTTCTCACCTCAAGACCCTCAGTCAAGGGTCCTATCTATACCTGAAACTCACATTTGACCTCATAGAGAAAGGCTATCTAGTGTTAAAGAGCTCTAGCTACAAAGTAGTTCCTGTTTCGCTCTCTGAGGTTTATTTACTCCAGTGCAATATGAAGTTCCCAACCCAGTCTTCCTTTGACCGGGTGATGCCTCTCCTGAATGTGGCAGTGGCCTCTCTGCACCCACTCACTGATGAACATATCTTCCAGGCCATCAATGCTGGTAGCATTGAAGGCACCCTAGAATGGGAGGATTTTCAGCAGAGAATGGAGAACCTCTCCATGTTCCTAATCAAGCGCAGAGACATGACTCGTATGTTTGTACATCCTTCTTTTCGAGAATGGCTTATCTGGAGAGAAGAAGGAGAGAAAACCAAATTTCTCTGTGATCCCAGGTAAGCCATAGACCTGTAATAAGCAATTCTGAGCCTATTTTGTATTGATTGCATGGAGCATGGGTATTGAAAGCAGTGAGAAGTGTTCTTCATTGAACATTTCACACAAAGGAAACATCATCTCTGTTTCTTCTCAAGACAAGGCTGTAATGAGGTTAATTTATTTTCTCACAATGTTATTTCCATAAGACTCAAAATCTGCATAGATATTTAGAATACCCTCCTACCTTTCTATATAGTCCTAAATAATTTTCTTTGTGCTAGTGAACCCAGGCTATAATTAATTTAGCCATTTCATAGACTTCCTCAGTGTTCTTCCGATATGAAGAATTGATATATTGTTCATCTCTTTGACTTAAACCAGAAACATTTTAAAATTGCAGTTGCCCTTTTAAAAGTCATACCATTTTTAAAGCCACCAGTGACTAACCCCATTAAAGCCCATCCAGTGCTAAGGTTTATGCTGGAAAAAGAAATCTTAAACCTCACAGCTGAAACAGACCTGAAGAGATCAGCTGGCCTAGCTGCTCTCCCTGTAGATGAAGAAGTTGCCATTGTGCCCATTTTACAAAGGCCTTAAGATGCTGAATCAGTGCCAGAAGTCATCAAGTTAATAGGTAGGAGAAAGGAGGAAGAACTAGAAAAAGAATGGCAGGTGTGTGGTATGTACCGCCTTTCCCCTGCCCTGCAATCATGCACGCCCAACACTCTTGCCTGATGAGCTTGACCCTGACTTAATCTTTCTCAGCTCAACAAGCCAGACTAGGTGTGAAACTGTTTCCCATTCTCTTGGGTAGAACCTAGATCTCTAGCATCCTAGTGGGGTGTGCTTTCTACTCCACACTGCCTTTTTTAAAAGAATTATTCCTTTAACAAAGTTGGTGTTTTCATATATCCCTGCCTTCCGGGAAACAAAGAAGACACCAACAACATAGCTGGCAAATGCAGAGCTTATTCTGGCTCAGAAAGGAGAGAGGCCAAATCTGTGCCTCCGACCGTGACTCATCAGAGAGACTAAACCTCTCTGACCACGCTGGGGTTTTATTTCTCTTCTGGCGTGTTCTTCAGCCGGCCTTATTGAACACAACTGTGCTTGTGGGCATGCTGCTCAGCCTACTACATGCCACTTTGTTAGAAAATTAGTTCCAGATTCTGATGAAGATATTAAGCCAGGCAGTAGATTCTGTGGTGTTTTCCCTGAGAGAGAAACTTTTAAAGAAACAAGCTATAGTGGAAAGAACATGGGTTTTTGAGTGATTACCTGCATATAAATTCTATTTCTTCTAGGAACTGTGACCTTTGGAGAGTTTTATGTTTCTGAGACAATTTTCTTATCTATGTAAAAGAGATAATTCCTAAAGTTGTTGAGAACTAAATGAGGTCATATATAGTATAATACGTATACGTAAAATAGCACAGAGTACAAAGAAAGTGTTCAAGGAATGTTCTTCCACCCCACCCCACCCTTTGCACCCTTTTAGATATACCTTAACTAAATCCTGTGGCTAATTGGATAGGCAACAGTAGTCCTCTGCTATTAGCATTCGGGGGCCCAATATTAAAAAAAAAAAAAAAAAGTCTGAGTCTCTTCTATGAATTGTATGACATTCCCAAGAGTATTTTATTATAAATCCTACTAGTACTGCTACTATGCTAAATACATAGAGTTGGAAACCACATATTTAATAAAAAGAACCAATCTAGAATTGCCTCATGAACACTTTGAAATCAGTTTTCAGAGAAACTTTGCCAGTTGATCTCTCTGTCTCTTCCTGGAACATCTCAGAGAATTGAATGCTGAAGTCCAAGGCAGCCAGGCTCCCACTGAATTAACAGTGTCCTTACAACAGATAAAACCCTCAGGGGCTCCCAAAGGAGAAAATATGGCATTTTGCAGCCATATCATGACTTTACAAGCTTACCTTCTCAACATGACTTATTAACCAGAAGCGTTTTGGCAACAAGCTGATACACTGGGACAAGCAAACACTTCTAACTTCAGATGCTGTGTGGTCTGTTCCCTGGTGATTGAATAACACACAGAGCTGCTGAGGGATCATCATATATCACTTAATGGCAGAGAGAATAAAATAGTAGGACCAGGAGTTACCAAAAAAGCTTCCTTACATTTCATTTCAGTTGGAATCCAGCCTTCTATCCAGCACTATCTGGCACCAGCTTTGTTACCAAAGTATTGATCTCAGAGTTTGAGACCCCCCCTGGGTCAATGAGATGGAAATTCACTAAGAATTTAATGCTATGGGCAAAGCCCAAGCTGGCCTTTCAAAGAAACTGGCTCTAATTGCCTTCCATTTCAGGCAGGTCTGAGTAGCCTGACTCTTTCAAAGCAGGGATTGTCTTTGTGGTCTTCAGCCTCTCCTTCCTGTACATTCCCCCACTGCTCTTCTGTTTCTCCCCAGTTTCTCTCCAGAGCATCACACGTATTTCCGTAGACCAGAGAGACCAACTCTGTGCCTCTGAAATCACGCTGTGTAAGCCAGTGCTGACAGGCCTGTCTCGGTGTAAGGAGAACTCTCAGAGGCAGCAGAACATCTCTGTCTCTTCTAGTCCATCTTCCTCGGCTTTCAACACTCACTCATTCACCCTGAACTAGCTGACCTTATTAGGGAATTAGACACAGACGAGAATATTCTATACTGAAGCCAAAAAGTAGTTGATCTTCATCAGAAATAGGCCACCCACGGAGGTACTTCTGCTAAGCTGAAGAGAGTCAATAATCTGAGGATGGTGCTGGAAAGAGGAAATAGCAGAGCCAGAGGTCAGTGCTACAGCTGAGATAGAGTTTTCCTTATTTTAAATATCAGACGGCCTGTTGTCCCAGGATGTCAGAGAGCTGACATCCCAGAGAGAATGACCTAATGTTGCATAAACATATAACTGTCACAGAAAGAGATGAGTTATAGATGTCTTTTCTCAGCTTGGTAACAGGATGGGTGTGTGTGGGTGTATCAAACTGTGAGCAGAACATCACTGAAAAATTTTTTATCACATCAGAACTTCTAAAACTTTGGATTTGCATTCTGGATGAAAATACGCCTCTTGAAGCCCTGACAAACGTTAGACCTCACCACCTTATCCTGCTTTCCATTTCCCACTATTCATCACTGTCATATCCTGTCATACTCTGAAATTAATCCATTTTATATTTTATTCCCTCGGGCACTGAGATATCAGATTAACTCACTAATCTTATAAACTAATCTCTGCTATTATGCTAATAAGAGGGAGATAGAAAACACATCTGAAGCGACTTGTGCATTTCAAGTAAGGCGTTTGAGAAAACAAGTCATCGGTCTTTGTTATCTAACCTATTGATGACTTTGATAGTTGAAATCTGAGGCTGGGAGAGTAAACAGCTGGGGGCTGCTGGCCCTGTGCAACTTAAAATTTCTGCGGAGTGTTAGGCTAGCCCTGCATGAACCCCCACCCTTTTTTTGTTTCCTTTCTTCACTATCTTTGTCTTCATGGTATCTAGCCTCCCCTTCCATAGGAACAGATCACAGATCAAATTTTATGTATATACATATATATAGGAATATATATGTAAGATCTTTATATAAAGATCAGAAGACTCAGTTGCCTTATTTTTAAGTGTTTGAATAAAACACATGAGGCTTGTGAACTTTGTTGAGTACTGAACTGCTACGACCTAATGAAATTCTGATTTGGGAGCCTGATTTGGGTTGACCTGATTTCCTCAAACTAAGAGAAGCAAACTTTATGGCAGGTGAAAAAGGGGGGGGAAGGGCTACACAAATCCTGTTAGGGTAGTTGAGTATTTGCTTGACTCTCTGTGACTAGAGTTGACATCTTATAATACATGGTCTGTTGAGATTTGTCCTAGTTATTTTGGTCATATTAGTCCGTGAGTTACACATTGGAGACCTGATGCTCCAAAATCCATGCCACAAAGCAGACTGTCAGAGAATAAGCAGTTTTCCTAAGGCAAAAAGAAGGCATTCCCCCTAAAAGGGAAAACTACTTTGTGCAGAGGACCTGCACAGCCTGCCTTCTTATAGAATACATGGGTCTGAAATAACCACAGAATGGTGAGTTGCAGAGTTAAGGTGATTCTGATTGTTTTTTTTTTTAAATCACAAGGATTTTTTTTATTATGTTAATCACCATACGTTACATCATTAGTATTTGATGTAGTGTTCCCTGATTCATTGTTTGTGTATAACACCCAGTGCTCCATGCAGAATGTGCCCTCTTTAATACTGTTTTAATCCAAACATGAGCCTCCAGGCAGGATGACATTTAACCTTGCCCTCGCTGAAGCACAAACTCTAGGTTACTACTGATAGCCATTGCAGGCTCCCGTAACAAACCCTTAAATTGGGAATAGGTTCTGCTTTCCAAAAGCATTAGGAAAGAATTCAGCAAAGTGATGGATCATGGGAAGGAAAAAAGGGTCTGGAACCACATCAGCCCTTAGGAGGTTTGGAAGAGTTACTTCAAGGAAAAAGGCAGTGTACATCCTTTACTGGCACTTGACTATTAGTAGATGATCTTACCTGCCTGGAAATATTAACTCTCTAATCTCTGTGCTGGGTCTGCATCTGCTACACTTCTAATTCCTTTCTATCACTGAGGGGAAATTAGTCTTCTGATGTTACAATTTGCATGTGTACTTTCCAAGGAGAGATTTCATTGATATGTCATATTATTAGAGATTTGTCTAATTTGCCAATAAATTTTTTCCCTTATTATCTAATCCAGTTTCTGACTCCCTATTGGCATCAAGAATAAATGTGGGACTCACATCTGAAATATTACTCTGGTGACCTAAGGTCATGGTTTTGTGATTTAATTTAGCAGGGAGAAATTAGATGAAATCTAATGTATATCTTGGAATATGTCCAGTTTGCCAACTGCATGAATGTCCTTCAACTTTACATATTTGTTCTCTCTCCATATAAATCATGGAGCCCACATCTATTAGTCAAATAGGCATACTGTTCCCACCTTCAAGACTC